GCAGTCCTGCTTCACAACACACTAATTCGCTCCTCAGGGAGGGGGTCTCGCCTTAATTGCTACCGCGACAATTCGCTACAAATCCTCCCGACGAGGCTGCCAGGGCTCCGGCGAGCGCTGCCCTTCTTCCCGAAGGGCCGAGAGCGTGACACAGACGGCAAGAAAAGTCCTCCCCCAGGTGCGCCGCACGCTCAAGGTTTGCCCCTTGCTCACACGTCCGCCCCCCCCCCCCCGCAGCCGTGTCGCCAGCGGATCGCCTCGCAGTGGGAGGAGAGCAAGACCGGCGGCATGGGTGGACACGCAACAGTTTCCGCGTTCTGCTATGGTAATTAAGATTCTAGATCCGTAATCCTCGCTGGCGTTGTCATGTCCGCTAACTGATGCTTCCGGTGAAGTCAAGAGAAACTACATCTAAAGGAAACACGATGAAACTCGAAACACGTCAAAGCTCCTCTGGCAACGCAGACGCCCGCACTGGCCGGACAGGTTAAGTCAAAACAACGTTTCCTCTAATGCGCCGGCGCGCAGGACACACCGCCCACACTCGCCTCGGAGCAAACCATGCATTGGACACGGGCGGAAATGCGGCACAAAGGCTGCCCGTAAACATTCCGAGACAGCTCGAATGGCAGGAAAGAAAGGTGAAACAGAAAAGAGAGGGGAGAGAGGAAAGGGAGGGAGAGGGGAGAGGGAGGGAAGGAGGGAGAGGGGGGGGGTCTCCGGCATATCCTAGTTTTTATCCTCCCGGCCCTCCTCCCCGCCAGTGAGCCGCCGTGACACGCAGGATTCCCGCCATAAAAACCAATAAGCCGCTTACGCCACAAAGGCGTCACCTCCGGTTTCATTTTCATGGTCGCGTCGGAGTCGGGCGACGGCCGGGTCTGGGCCTTGACTGGCAATCCTTCTCATAAATCATTACTTATTATCACTCCCTTCTTTCTGGCCTATGCTTCCGCCCCCTCGCTTGCCACAGCTTTTCTTCCTCCCCAGGAAAAGTGGCGGGCGCGACGCGTGGCGAGAGCCTGGGGGAGCGGGGCCCGACAGCCAGGATGAAAGGGCGCGGAGCAGACGGGGTAGAAGAGGGATTTCCTGAATCCCCTTTGGTTATCTCGCGATCCCGAGAGAAAGAGGAGGGAGAGGTACGGCAAGAGACGTGGTGTCAGTAGAGGATCAAACAAGTTCCCTGATCCTTACGAACACTGCACGGGCCACCGGAGAAAAGAGAACGGGACACGGAGGGAATGTGGAGAGACGCCACCAGAAGGCTCGTGGCACAAGGACGCTACTGCAATCCTTCAGGAGACGAAAACGTTTCCTGACTCGGCCTTCGCGGGGATTCTGCATCTGGGGCTGCCCCGTCGCGAACCGCCGCTTGTCAGTCCGCGTCGGCAAGTTAATGCCATGCAAATGAGGCATTTCATCTATAGCACTTCATTCCACTATCCCTGAGAGGCCTCTGGGAAATAGGCCACCGCTGATGCCTCCTCTGACTGCAGCACTCACTGCCCGGCGTGTACCTCTCAGCACCAACGGTAATAATTAAATCAGGACTCGCTGTCAGCTACAAACCAGACGCACACTACACAGGGGAGGAGCGGCCGCCGTATTCCAGTCAGGCACTGAAGACACGCTGGCTTTATTCTGCGGACATTTATCGTATTATTCACTACCACTTCGCATCCTGATGAGCGGAAACGGGACGCCTTGATCAGTGCCGATCCTCCTCCCATGACCCTCCTCCCATGGGGACCCCTCCTCCATGGGGACCCATGGGGGGACCTCCCATCTCCTCCCATGGGGACCCCTCCTCCCATCCTCCTCCCATGGGGACCTCCCATGGGGGGCCTCCCATGGGGACATGGGACCCCTCCTCCCATGGGGACATGGGGACTCCCGCCCGACCCCTCCTCCCATGGGGACCCCTCCTCCCATGGGGACTCCCATGGGACCCCTCCTCCCATGGGGGGACCCCTCCTCCCATGGAGACCCCTCCTCCCCCTCCTCCCATGGGGACCCCTCCTCCCATGGGGATTCCTCCCCATGACCCCCTCCTCCCATGGGCCCATCCCTCCTCCCATGGGGACCCCTCCTCCCATGGGGACCCCTCCTCCATGGGACCCCTCCTCCCATGGGGATCCCATGGGGACTCCCATGGGGACCCCTCTCCCATGGAGACCCCTCCTGGGGATTGGGACCCCTCCTCCCATCCTCCTCCATGGGGACCATGGGACCCCCTCCTCCATGGGGACCCCTCCTCCCATGGGACCCCTCCTCCCACCCCTCCTCCCATGGGGACCCCTCCTCCCATGGAGAGCCTTCGCATAAAGCTCTCTTCGGCAATTTCATTAGTCGCTGTTGTAACTTTACATTTGCTATTATACGGAATAGGAGGTAAAGAAAGAAAGAAAGAAAGGAGAAGGAAAAAGAAAGAAAGAAAGAAAGGAAAAAGAAAAGGAGAAAGAAAGAAAAAGAGACAAATAAATAAACAAAGAAAAAGAAAAATAAGCAAACAAAGAGAGAAGGAAAGCAAGAAGAAACGAGAGGAGCGAGAGGCGGGCAGGCACTCCGGGCGTTATATACGAGAGGCCGCGCGCAATGTATCACAAGGCTCGACAAATTACCTAAATTGCAGCAGCTGTAAAAGTTCGTTCCTTCCGCGTCCGCAGTCCGTCCCTGCGCCTCCATTCATCACCGCAGGTCTCGTCAGAATCCCTCGCGCGGGACACGACTGCCGCCTGCGCGCTCGACCCCGGGCGGCAGCTGAGAGGCCCCACCTGACACTCGTCGGTTCATTTTGGTGCACCTCTCGCCCTTTCATTCTCCTTTCCACCATCAGCACTTACCGCCCCTGCTTCACTTCCTCCGTCTCTCTCACTCTCACTCGCATTTTCCCTTCCCCTTCCCCTTCCCCCGGCCTGTCAATACCCCCCCCCTCCCCTCCGAACCGATCCTTTCGTCCCCAAGGATCTCCCCCCCCCCCCCCCGCAATCTCATCCTGGGTGCTTCACGCGCCGCCACCACTGCACTGCGGAGAGCAGCCCAAGCTTCTAACATTTTCTTTTCTTTCCCCTTTCCTCTTATTTTCTTTTACGGTGAAACTACATAGTAGCGGTGAAACTCCTGGCCCATTAACGCTTCCCCTGAACACGCGCCTCCGCTCGGCCGCGCCGCTACTCGCCATTCATCTTCACGCGCCGTCGCCAGGCGCGGATTCCCACCCAAACTGACGAGTGATATCCGCTCCGTCCGCAGACACCCCGTCGGCCGCCGCTCTAGCACCGAGGCGCACCTCCCGACCCGCGCAACTTTTTTCGATTCCCTTCCCAGCATGTCAATTAATGGCCTCTTTCCTCCGCCGTGCCAAGCGGTATATCTTAGCAAAACCTTACTTGCCAACGGTCTATGAGCGGATGAGCAGCGTGGTTGGGCTTTGAGAACCCAGGGTGTGGAGGAAATGCCCCCCTTAATTCTTCTCACTTGAACACCACCGGTTATTGTCTGTCCTAAATAAGCGTACGAGTGTTCATGTCATAAGGGCTCTAGGTATCCCTGCTGCCATAGCAAAGACGGATGAGTAGTTTAGCTACCAACGGCATCCTTGAGGTGGACCCTCTGAATTGTAGCCATAGTTGTGTGCCCAACATTCCTGAATTCAGCCATCTCCCTAATGTAGGAAGGCACATCCCTGCAGTTCTTGTTTTCCTTCCTTTTTCACATTTTTTTTTCTTGGCCCTTTGCTCCTTATCATGTATACAAGTGATATGTGGTCTGGCATTACTAATAAAATGTTGGCATATGCTGATGATATTTCTCTCTATGCTGATATTCCTTCTCCGGCAACTAGGCAAATCGTAGCTGACAGTCTCACTGTAGACCTGATGATGATTCAATGGTGGTGCTCTCGGTGGGGCATGAAATTAAATCCTACTAAGTCTAAAGAAATGATTGTGAGTCGGTCTCGAACGCAGTTGCCTCAGTATCCAAGTCTGCTGATTAACGGAGTCTTAATCACTTCGGTGGATAACTTGAAGCTCTTAGGTGTAACCTTTGATTTAAAGCTTACATTTGAATTGCATATTAGGAATATGGCCCGGGCAAATTTCATCAAAGTTAGGCATCATTCGCAAGTGCAAGAAAATCTATGAAGATGGCAACATTACACGTAGGTGCTTCTTTTCTTTTATTCTGCCTCATTTTGAGTATTGTTCTTGTGTGTGGTTATCTGCTGCAGACTCACACTTAAGACTGCTTGATCGTTCTTTTAATTCCATTAAATTTCTCCTGCCTGACTTAAATTTGGACATTGGACATCGTAGAGTTATTGGGGCTCTTTCAGTTTTATACAAGATTGTAACCGATAATTCACATCCCCTCTACAAGTTTTTACCTGATTTTTATCAACCTGCAAGAATTACTAGAAGTTCTATGACCCTCAATTGAATGACATTTGATGTGTAAGTCGATCGTCTACAAGTCAGTTTTCTAGATGCTTTTTTAATGCTATTTGTAGACTTTGGAATAGATTACCTTCAGAGATTGTAACTTCTTCGACTCGATAAATTTAAAACGTCAGCTAACATGTTTTTCTTACGTAATTAGCTGCCTTTCTTTTATTAATTCTTTCTTAGCTGTATCTTGACCTGCACTGACACCTTTGGTGGTATAAATCTCGATTTTTTCAGTGTGGCTCATTATATAGCTTAATATAATAATAAACAATAACAATCTGGTCTGAAACCCCACAAGACTTCCCTGTCATCAATACGAGCTTTTCATGTTTAAATATTCTACTCACATATATGCATACGCAAAATGCCTATGCACACACATGTACACGCTATATGTATATGAATACTTTCCGCACGCGCTTGTCAACGTATATAATGAAATACAGTACAAAGCACGAGTGACTGTAGACACATGCATTGACATCGATCAAATGAAACCAAATAAAACCCAACATGAGTAAGCCAGGACGCCGCCCAAGACGACGGACTCACCTTCTCCTTGTGGTGCGGCTTCGTGATCCGGCATTTGGGGATGATCTTCCCCGCGTACGTCTTGCTGGTGGTCAGGTCCGTCACCTCGTGCACGCGCGCGAAGCCACCCTGGGGAGGAAACACGGAGTCAGGAAGATCAAAAGTACACGAGACTACAGCACAAAAAGTGATTCATAATACACAAGTATATATAATCAACAGACTCAAGGGAGGGCAAAGGGGCCAGCCAGCCTACCGCCCCAGCGCCATCAGGAGAAGGAATGGCCGTCGCCAGAGGGACTTTGTCAAGAGGTCACTGCGAGGGATTCCGCGTCTAATAATGGAAGGGCTCCGTCAATCAAGGCAGAAGCAGCAGTAGCAGGAGAAAGTGGAGGAGGAGGAAGAAGAGGGGGGAGGACGAGGAGGAAGAGGAAGAGGAAGAGAAGGAGAAGCAGGAGCAGGAGGAGAAAGAAGAGGAGGTAGAGGATGAGGATGTGAGAAAGAAGAGGATGAGGATGTGAGAAAGAGGAGGAGAATGAGAAAGACGATGAGGAGGTGAGAAAGAGAAAGACGATGAGGAGGTGAGGAGAAAGACGATGAGGAGGTGAGAAGGAGAAAGAGGATGAGGAGGTGAGAAGGAGACACAAAGGCACTTTCCGTGGCACATGTCCAGCTACGTATGGATGCCCCGTCGTTTGTTCGCGGGGACTGTACAGTCTCTTTGTGTCTGTGCCCCTTCCTACTGCTCCTTCCTCACCTTCCTACTGCTCCTTCCTCACCTTCCTACTGCTCCTTCCTCACCTTCCTACTGCTCCTTCCTCACCTTCCGACCCTTCGCCCTCCCTCCTCTCATCCCTCCCTTCTTGCTTCCTTCCCTCCCTTCCTCCGCCCTTCGCGACCGGTCGAGATGGGAAATTCGCCCCTCCTCCTGGCGGGCGACAAGCCTTGGGCCTTCGTGATGTGGTTCGGGATTGATATGGAAATCTGGGGCATAAAATCCGACGAGCGGTTCCGCGGCATTCGACGCCCTCGCCGTCTGCCACGGCGCACAAATCCAAATGGACTTATTCCGCAGTAATGATTTTCTGCAGGTTAAATTCTGACAAACGTTACGAACCAGCTTGAGCGGCGGTCACGCGATGGGAATTCACATGCAAAAGATGCGACACTGAAGTCCCGTTATTCTAGAACCACACCTTTTTGAAAAATCACATCCTAACTAGATTAAACTGAACCAGCCGAACCACACCCACGACCAAGATTACGTTTATCAAAGCATATGTCAACTTGCATAGAAGAAAAAAAAACTCTCCAGACAATGTTCTGATCTGAGGCGAAGCAAGAAAAAAACGACCTTCCTCCAAATCACATGACCTAATTCCAAGGCCGCCGCCACATGGGACCAAACGGCCGGCTCTGCGCGAGGCAATGGAGATGAAGAGGCGGCCCAAAAAGGCGAAAGACTGCGAGGAAGACGACAGAGAGAGGAGAGAAAGTGACGGGGAGGGAGAGGTGAGAAAAGGGAAAGGGAGACGGAGAAGGAAAGGGAAAGGGAGACGGAGAAGGAAAAGGAAAGGGACACCAAGAAGGAAAAGGAATGGGAGGCGGAGAAGGAAAAGGAAAGGGAATGGGGGGGGGGGAGACGGAGAGGGGAGGGGAATGAGAGAGGGCAAAGGAGGTGAAGAGGAAGGAAGAGGGATGAAGGATAGGAAGGGGGAGAGGGAGGTGGAAAGGGTATGACAGAAGGAGAGAGAGAGAGAGAGAGAGAGAGAGAGAGAGAGAGAGAGAGAGAGAGAGAGAGAGAGAGAGAGAGAGAGAGAGAGAGAGAGAGAGGGAGGGAGGGAGGGAGGGAGGGAGGGAGGGAGGGAGGGAGGGAGGGAGGGGGGGATGGGAGGGGAGGGGAAAGGGAGAGGGAATGGGAGTAGGAGAGAGAGGAGAGGGCAAGGGGGGGGGAGAGGAAGGGAGGGGAGAGCGAGGGAGGGGGAGAGGGAAAACAGGACTAACCCCAGCCTCCAAGCGCCAAACTGCGGCGAGGGGCCGCCGCCGCGGCCCACTGCTCCTGTCCTGGGCAGCATCCCCGAGCCGCCTCCTCCTTAATGTCCCATCCACTTTATTCCCACATCAATCTCATGGCGAGATGAGAGCGGTCGTGTGCCAGCATCCGGTGCCACAATGCCCTGGGCCTCGCTCGCCGCCGGGCCACTTGGAAGGCCGTGGTTGACAGACCGGGCTGAGAGGCCATGTCCACCGGGAAGGAGAGCACCCCCCACCCCCCCACCCCACGCAAAACAACAACATGCGCACTCGTGACCTTCCGAAACGTCAGTATATTAGGGTCGTTTGGCCGTCCTCCGCTGAGGCTGTTTCCGGCCGAGACGGCGCGGCGGCCTGCAATTATCCGTGCGGGTCGCGGGGCAGACCGCGCGGTGCAGCATGAAGAGTAAAAGGGAAACATTCCGGGCATTCTAGGATGCTCATAAGCAGGACGGCGCTGCCAAGGGGGGAAGGCTGGGCGGTAAAATAAGAGTATTGGATTTTTACGTGAAGAAAGAAAACCGCAAAACAAAGTTGAATAAAAAAGTATCAACATGTGATAATCGAACACAAGAAAACTGGAATCATCGAGGGAAACAAGAATCAGCGATGGAATTAGTGACTGGGAAAGGAAAGATTAGAAAAGCAAGAAAAAGTCACGGAGGAGGCGGGCCAGCACCGGCGGCCGCACCTCCTCTGCAGGGCTCAGTGGACCAGTTGACCAACAATTTCTAAACATCTATTGGTGTGTGGTCGCGCTTGCGATACCGGGCTTTCTGGGAATTACAAGTCGCCTACTCCTTGTGTCCCTTCTTTATCAGCGCGCCTTCCCTTGCCGCTTTCCTACGCACGCTGAAGGCCGGATTCCAGCCACTCCTCAAGCGCCTCCGCTTCCTTCCTTCCCTCCTTCCCTCGCAACGCCTCGCCACCACCACCGCGCTCTCATGAAAGCATAACCCCGTTAACACCCCCCCCCTCCGCGCTCACGACCCGCCTAACAAGGCCAAGAGGCAGCCTCGCGCCCTCCGCCGCCACAGGAGGCCGCCCTCCCCGCCCCTCACACCCTCCGTCGAAGGATAGCTGCCCCGGCGACGCGCTGCTCATAAAGCCCCTGAGTGGACTGGCCTTTAGGGCGCGGAAAGACGCCATAAAGTGGAGTGCAGAGGAAAGTGGGGCGCAAGTGGAGGAGGGCGCAATGCATACTACGACGGAGCCGAAATCCCGGCCTCTCGCGTCCGGGGAGGCTGGGGGTGGGCGGGGGCGGGTGGCGGGGGCTGGGCGGGGTGGGCGGGGGTCACCGATGAAACAGCGAGCGAGGAGACGAGTCCCTCGAGAGCGGCCGAACTGCATCGGCGCTTTGCCCCCGTCGGCTGACCCACATCCGGAAGGGCCTCGCCCGTCGCGAGATACGATCCCGAATCGGACACCGCATCCGGATCCCACGTCGCCTTCACGACTTCCTATCCCTCTTCCTCCCTTTGCATCCTTTTACTCGCTCTACTTCGTTATTCTGATTCTCCCACCCTCTCTTACCGCTTTTCTTCTTTCTCATCACCATCATCACCACCACCTCCATCGTCCCCTTTCCCTTCCCTGCCCCTTCTCCTCTACGTCTTATTCTTATTCCGCCCCCTTCCAAGCTGGCAACGTATAACCGCGCTCCTGCCGAGCTTTTAACCGCAATAAGTCTACGGAACGAGTGACGATATTGAGGTTTTATGGGCGGCCTCGGCGAGGAGAGCGACGGCGCCCCTCGACTCCTTGCCGCCGAGGAGGAGGAGCGTCTCACGGCCCTTCCTCACACGGCTGAACTCCCTTCTTGCTCCTGAAAATTGTCATTATCACAATATCAAATGCTACGAGGGCCTCTATCATCATATTACAATTCTTATGACCTTACATACTGACGCTGATGAATATGAGAAAACAATATTGATAATGATTCAGTTTTCAGTTTTAATTGCATTTGTTACAATGGATATTCTTTGCTGTGACTTACTGTAAGTCTGCTTATTTTGCCCAAATCTTCCCCTGTGTGCAAGGTATGGCCGGGGATACCACTCACTGGCCGGGCGTGGGACTGAACGCAGGTCCGCAAGATTGCTAGACCAGCACCTTACCACTGCGCCAGCACAGCACACATGGTGACTAATTAAGACTGATGAAGACTAATAATGATATATGTCGACGAAGCCAATGGCGATAACGATGTTGATGATGATATAAAAACAATAGCAACAATAATAATATCAACAGTGATAATATAACCAGTTTCATCGCTGACCTTACCAATATTATAATCATCATTTTGCTACTGTCACTATAATTCATTATCCCCGTCATCAATGTCATTATTGTACATCGCAACATTTTTATATCATTTTTATTCCAACATCAACAATATCAATTTTATCTATCATTATCATCATTAGGATAATTATCCTCACCGCCGCACTAGCATTACAGTTGGCATTTTTATTCTCATTGTCGGGACGATTCTCCCACAATCGGTACTATTCCTACCATGGTACTCCTATCAGCCTACAATCACCGCCACTGCCACAGCTTTTGCAGCAATTGTCACTGGAAACGAGTCTCCCCCTCGACACCTGCCAGTCCTAACCCAACGCCCCCCCCCTATTCCCACCCCATTCGCAGCTCGCAGACGAAGGCCCGCAGCGCTTCCCACGACAGGCGGAGGGAGGGGCCTCGGGCGCCCTAGACACGCCCGGCCGCAGACGGCTGGGTCGCCGCCGTCGTCGCGATGCCTTAGGGGCGAGCGAGGAACAACGCTTAGGGCTCCGAGGTGAGGCAGTGTCGCGACTTACGTAATCTGGTGGGCATCAGATGCCCGACGCCCCTGGGCCAGTCAGCCGATTAATGACATTTCACTTTCATTAACAGTTCCCTTATCTGCGCCACGGGCAAGACGGCTGGGGAACGAACGCTGCGCCCCCGGAGGTTCCCTGCGGACGCCCCCGGAGGTTCCCTGCGGACGCCCCCGGAGGTTCCCTGCGGACGCCCCCGGCTCCCGCTGGCGCAGATTCTCGATCAACTAATTAGCCAAGTATTTTTGAGACCAGAAAACCCCTGCTTAAACCATCTGCACAAGAAAATACCTGGAGATGTTGCAAGCTGCGGAATGCACTTCGTTGAATTCCGCTGGGGGGGGGGGGGGGGGTGGGAGGGGGAGGTGAAAAAGGAGGAGAGGAGGTGAGGGGAGGGAGAGGAAGAGGTGGTGAGCGATGGTAAAGGAGGTTGAGATGGGAGACGAAGAAGGGGAAAGGAGAGAAGGGAGAGAGTGATGAAGAGCAGATTAGGAGGGAAGGAAGGAGCAGCAGCCGCAGAAGAGGAGAAAGAGGGAAGATGGTGGGAGAGAGAGAGGGATGTAGGATGATTGGTAACGATGAGGAGGACAGAGTAAGGATCAGGGAGGGGGTGAAGGAGGTGCAGAGGAGGGAGAGCCGAGCGGGGCTCCTCGCCACGCAGCGCTTCCGGTTTCACAAGTGTATCCGAGCGCAGACGGGCGCAGAGCTCCGCTAAATTAAGATTTAATTTCCCGCAGACTATTACTGGTTGTTAGCGAGCCTTCTCGACGATGAGCCATGTACAAAGGCGATTCTACACCGGCTGAGACAACGAAGAACGCACGTACATATACCACATTTATACCCATGTTTTTCATAGCCAAGTATCAAAGCCTGTAATAAAACAGCGATAAAGCTGCTACCCCTACAGCAAGAGGCAGATAACAAGCTCTAACTCCGTAACTCATTCGAGAGTCATTATCTCGCTGCGAAGGGAAAAAGCGCCGAGCAAATTGCCGCCCCGCGTGTCCTCATGTGCTGCCCAGGGTCCGACGGCGAGGCAAAAGCGAAGCCCCGCGGCCCTCTCATCATCCGCCGGGGCTGCGGGCGCCGACGACGGCCCCCTTGGTGCCCGAGGAAACAAAGGACGGGGAGGCGAGGAGGTACGGACGGCACGGCGCACACCACGTCACCGTGTGCTGGTCCCGACAACTGTGCCATGAACTGCCAAGTCGCAGCGCTTCCCACGCGCAGCGCCATGCGTGTTCATGAAGCCAGAACTCATAACGCGTTCCTTTAACGACGCGCTTTCGCCAAGTCCCCCGTCGGCTACTTCGGCACAAAAAGTCCTAACCCGCCGGCGCGGAAAGCACACGACAGCCTCCTCCGTCGGGGCGCGGACGACCTCAAGTGCTGCCCTTCCTTCCTGTGCCGTTCGCCTGCTGCCCCGACACGGCTCTCGTCGCGTCAAGGCAACTTCCTTGTTTCGGCTTTGCAAAAATGTGCGCTTCTTACAGCGAAGAAAGTGAAAGAAAAGGGCGACAAGAAATGTAATCTAAGGGTAACAAGGAATAGAAAGAGCAGCAGTGGTAAATGAAGTGGAAGACTGATAGTGATGATGGTGATGAGCGAACGAAAATGAGGACGATAAAGTAAAGGCGGTAATAGTACGACACAGGCTTCTTCACACAAAAAAGATGCTCTCTAGCCCTCGCTCCCACACAGATATCGACCAAGGAAAAGTGATATAACAAAACTCAAGAATGTGAAGAAAAAGTCAATGTTCATGCAACTTTGTAGCATCAATCAGATCAAATAAATGAGGCGTTTTAGAAGAGGCAGAGAGAAAAAACCTGAAGGAGGACTCGCAGCATCTCGGGCTCGAGAGCGCCTCAAGTAGCACCTCCACTGAGCTCCACTTTATGACAACGGCACGTCGCTACAGAGCCTCCGTGAGGTAATCAATACCTGCACATTAGCGTAATAAAGCCTCAAGTACACAATCCTCACGCTACTCCCCGCCCCCGCCCGCCTCTCAGACAAAGGAGGAACTCGAACGATTCTCTTCAGTCCACACAAGCGCGGACGGACACGTGCTTCGCCGCGCCTGCAGGGACAGCCGCCGCGGGGGAGGCGGCGGCGGCGGCGGCACGCGCCCCGGCCTCCGTGCCGACCGGAGGCACTGAGGCCACTGATGTAACTCCCAAGGGCCCTCGAGTGTACTGGGCGTACTC